ACGACATTTCCAACCTCCAAAAGAGGCCGCCAGCTCGAGAAACTCTGCTTTCTTCATTCTCTTGAAGGGCACAGCGGCCGAAGGCCCCAAGCCGATCAGGTCTGGAGAGCAAGCAAGCGACCACCGCCTTGGCCTGGGCGATCGTCCCTGAGTGTCCGGCCAGGCGGGCAACCCAGATGGCCGCAGGAAGTCGGACGCCCTCTGCGTGACAGGCCTGACTGGTCTGCTCCCTTCGCTTCTGGCAAATGGTGGGACGGCCGTACGCTCACTTGCAGGCCCGGCACTCACCGTGGTTCCACTGGAGCCGGCTCAGCTCTCCCTAACTGCGTTTAATATGGCCATGAAGACATAAAAGGCTGCCCACACCGCAACCATGGTCAAGGGGGAGCCTTCTTTTTTTTTTTGGTTTTTCTTTTTGGTTTTCTCCGGTACCGGAACCGAACTCATGACCTTGCGCTTGCCAGGCAGGCGCTTTTGCCGCTGAGCTAAATCCCCAGCCCCAAGGGGGAGCCTTCTAATCCAGAGGGCTATTCAGGGTTATGTATTCCTTGGCTGATTCTGGTTTGCTGTAGGAGCTATAAATAATCCCTAACACCAGGCAGGATGTTAATTATACGATGCAGCGATTTAGAAATAATACATTATTTAGCATTTCCTTAAATTGTTTCTCAACCCTCTGTTAACACCCTCCCATAAATGCAGTGAAATCCGTGACTTTTGAGAGCACATTTAGTGCAGTCCAGCGGGCATGTGGGTTTCCATTCTAGCTTGTCTTTAAATGGGCTCTATGTAAGCCAATGAGGGAAGACCAACCTTTCCATCCTTGATGTCGGCCGCCCTATCCCCATAATCTGCGGACCACGGCAGTCCTCAGCTGGCTGAGGTTTGTGAGGACTGGATATACCTTTAAAACAGGAGAGGACTCTACGCGTGACACCTGCATGCCATTTACCACGTATTCTAAATTCATGACACTGACTTGGAAATGCTATCAGGTAAATTTGGAGAGATCATTTTAAAGTTACTGGATCTTTTAAAAATCATGCAGACGTTTGAAAAATAATTGATTTACCATATCATTCACAATTTCTATAATTACATTAATGACTTCAGGATTCACGTGGGTATTTAAAATTAGAAGCCAAAGTAAATTTATGAAATATTTACTTCACCGATCGCTATTTAAATCCACAGCAACTGAACTATTCCTTCATTGTTAGCCTTTATGTATCTTAGATGTGGTAAAAATCCTACTGTATGAATCTGTTGTAATTAAAGAGATTACAGATTCCTAAATAAGGAGTATGGGCTAATTATAGAATCTTAATGATGCAATTTTTGGTAGCATCTACAGGAATGTAGGAAAGAGTAATACCTATGAAGAAAACACTTTTGGGTAAAGTTTTAAAGTTTTCAGAATTCTAGCTTCCTCTCAATTTTCATTTGCAAGGGACACAAATCACCATTTTCAACAAAGTATAGCAAACTTTAGTACTAAGAATTTGATTTCTATGTATATCTTGGATAAGCAATTCTAATAATTATTATAATGCAAATTCAATACAAAGAACCTCTGATTTTGATTTTTTTTTTTACATGAAAATTCCCATCAGTTTCCAGTGGAAGCTTTATTCAAAGATGGAAGCTTATCCCAGTTCTTGGCCATTAAAACCATCTCGAATGTCACTGAGATAGTTTAACAGACCTATGTAAATCATGGCTTGGATGGTTGAAATAGTACCAAAACATTTTCTTTTTTTTTTTTGGTTTTTTTTTTTGGTTTTTCTCCGGTACCGGGAACCGAACTCACGACCTTGCGCTTGCCAGGCAGGCGCTTTGCCGCCGAGCTAAATCCCCAGCCCCCAAAACATTTTCAAACTTAACACATTACATATTTAATTGCACTCAACACAAATGGTCAGAGTACAGTATTTTAAACATCTCCCACATAACGACCTAAAGACCCTACCTGACCTTATACATACTTAATATATTGAAATCTACACATGGAATTTTTAAAATAAATGGGTTTTTCAACCATCTTTTAACCATTCCAAATCAAGAATTTTCACTCACATTTCTTACTGTGGAATCTATTAAGCAATTATGCATCCGTGTCACAAAGTAGCCTGAATTTCTGCACTTATCCTATGCATTTATTATCTTGATTTTTATTAATTCTAATTTTGCAATTCCTTTCATGCTTGAGGCTAAGCTTTTTTCCTTACAGAATAAACCACACAGTACACTTACACATATGTTAGTGCCTCAGCTAAAATGATGTAAAGATTGTGTCAAGTTCTAAATTTTATAGTAATACTGGTTCTTTATTTTAAAATTCAACATAAAAAGTCCTACTGTCAACTACTAAAACTGTCAACTACTAAAACTCACAAACAAATGAGCTAATTATTACTGTACAGACTGACTAGGACGGAGACAGACAGTTCACATAAAAATGCTACCTTTGTCAAAACATTTGCAAGTCCAGTATGTTAGGTAAGTGAACTAAATGCCTTCAGCCAGCTTCGTTTTTGTCACAAACTGCTATCAATGAACAGACTTACTGAGGAGCTTACCCTCAGAGGACGGAGCCTGCTCTATCTTTATCTGCGTGCCCAGGGTGTGGAGCAGGAGCCCACCGCATGGTTGGCTGGGTACTGCAGACCCCAGCCCCAGCATATAGGAAAGGCCTCCCAACAGAGAGCAGGCATTTTGGAAGGTGAATGGCCTGTCTTATCTAGTTTCAAACAGGCATGAGTACACCAGCAGAAGTGATTAAAACTGATCCTGTCCTGGGCCAGGGACATAGCTCAGCGGCATAAGTGCTTGCCTGGCAAGCCTGAGGTCATGAGTTCGATTCCTGGTACAAAAAAAAAAAAAGAAAAGAAAAGAAAAGAAGAGAAGAGAAGAGAAGAGAAGAGAAGAGAAGAGAAGAGAAAAGAAAAGAAAAGAAAAGAAAAGAAAAGAAAAGAAAAGAAAAAGAAAAACTGATCCTGTCAGATGTCAAATTAGCCTGGGAAGTAAAATGTATAGCAATGCTGCACCCCGACCCTCGAAAAGTCGGAAGTGTCCTGTCCAAAGTCTCAAGTCCCATAGATCACACAATGGCAACAGAGGAAAAGGGGTAAAGATACACATCTGGATGCCCTCTGCTCTGGACACCACGGAAAGGAGGGCACACAGCTCCTCATTTTATGAGGTCCCCCCACCTAACTTCTCCAAGTGAGCTCTGAGCAGCAGGCCCCAGGAGAAAAGACTTGGAAACTGAGACGCGCCATGTGAAGGAAGCAGTTGGCCGCCATTTTTACATTTGTGGACTCTGAAAAGGTGAAAAGCTCATGCTGCGTCTTGAGTATCTCTGCTGCTTTACTTTACCTTTCTAGTAATTGGTTTTCACTGCATTTTACACATAACGTTGAGCCACATGAACGGAGAACCTTGCAGCAAGTGGGAAAAATCCCTTCAACAGGTAGGAGAGGAAACACAGCCCCACCCCAGAGCCCATGAACAGCAGGCTCGTGACACGGGGAAGATACCGACTTGCCCAGTCATCTCTTAAATCAGTTAAGTATTAAGACTCTTCAGAAGCAGATTAATTTTGCTCATGAGTAATACACTAAGCTCCTTTGATTAGCATCTGAATTAATCTAGAAATATTTGAATTGAGGGCCAATGAGATACCAAATAATCAAAACTATTCTGATAAACTGAAATACTAATCAATGTTTCTCTTGGAAGGCAAAGTTCTGTGAGCAAACGAGTTTGGGCTGATACACGGCTTCCCCTGGCTTCTCCGAGAGAGGCATAACACATATCCATATATTAAGGATTCTGGGAAGAGCAGGAATTTTTATAGGTATGTTTAATCATACGCATATGACCTTCTTTATCTAAACTCACATGAATATCTTATTTAGAAAACACAACTTTGGAAGTGCTGAATTAGCAATCAGAAACTTGCCCAGTGTCACATACTGGTTCTCTGCTTGCTTCCTTTGTAAGTAAATCAGCCTATCCATCCCATCATCCTGACCAACCTGCCACATCAAATGAGTAAATGATCTAAAATCACAGCCAAAAAGCTCCTTCTGGGCAAGCAATGGGCTCCCAGCCTTCATCCCCACAACTGCCACCCTTGTAGCCCAACATACAAAAGTGCTAGCCTGGCAGTTTCCTAAATCGTTCCGTAGAGTGTTCAGTGCTGTCTCCCCACCCCCCATACCCGATTCCAGCAAGGATTGCTGCGACACTCCCTTGGGATTCCCTGGAATTCTCTGGCAGTCTCCCCTGACAGACAGGGTTGGTGGATACCTGCCCGCCCTTCCTTGGAAAGCCTGGGTGGACCCAGAGCAGAGTCAGGAGGAAGCTCTGTGTTTGGCAAAAGCTCCAGCTGAGGCCACAGCTCGGACGGAAGTAGTGAGAGTGGGCGGGACCACAGCAGTGCAGGACCCCGGGGCAGCTCCCAGGAACACAGCCACCTCCCTCTGAAACCACCTCTACGACTCCCACAGCACACGGGGCACCTCGGCATCCATGCTGCGCCTCCAGGAGGGAGGACAAGCTGAACACAGCCGGTATCGCAGCCTCGAAGGAGAAAGCACTGTGACAGAGGACTGTGTCAGGGCTCTGACAGCCTCTCCGTCCCACCCCACAGCCCAGCTCCTGTTCAGCTCCGAGTGCCCCGTTTCAGCAGTCGGTAACAATCATTTTCCCTCAAACAACTGTGACTTTCAAATTGTGCTGCTTTTCTGTTGACTTCACAGGGGCCCCCAGAATCTGCACCACTTCTGCAAGGTCACGTGGTCCGGGAAATGTAGGACAAGGAATTGGCTTCCTTCTCTAATCACCAAACCACGAGGTCTTTTGTTAAGGTCAAAATTACCATGAACGTTATTTACATAGTACACAAGGCACTCGGCTTTCAGCTGTTACAAACGCGAGCCACAGTATAAAATAATAAAAAAATCAAGAGATAAGGAGCCCTTCGCCTTACTCACTGTTCACGTAAACGGAGAATGTCACGGAAGCATTGACATCAGAGTTGGACACGAGAAACGTGTAAGTGCCTCCCTCGGTCGCCTTTAGCCGGGTCAGGTGAAGCTCGCTGACATATCTGCAAAGAAAGGACAAGTCAAGCCCTGCAGACAGTCTGCCTGGAAGGCCACGTCTTTTTCAGTTTCCACCTGCAAATATGTGTGCGTTCGGAGAAAAATACGATTCATTTAACTCAGTGTTAACACAATCGTACTAAGAAACACACAGCTTGGGGCAAACACCCGCCGTGTGCGCGAGCAGGGGGGACAGGTATCTGACCGTCCCCCACCCCCCCCCGGCCTGCGCCCTCTTCCTGCCCCTGGGTGGCCCTGTGACCGCTTCCTTCTCTGCACAGGTGCCTTCTGCAGCCTCCCCCTCCCCAGTGCTCTGAACCCACCCGCCCCGCCTGGCTCTGACGCCTGCCCTGGTGATGCCGCCCCACCCGCGAATCCCCATCTCCTCGTGCCACCCCCACCTCACCTCCTGAAGAGAAGCAGCCCTGTCCTCCTCCTCCTCCTCCTTACACACTGTCCTGCTCTCCCCAGGCCCCTTGCTGCCTTTCCATTCATGTTTCTGCTCGACTTTGGGGACACCGGAGCTGGCGTGGATACGGGCACTGTGGGGTCCTGGAGCAGATCCATGGCGCGGGCTCCGACCCGGTCATCCTGGGAGCCACGCACAGTGGCCTTGGTGCTCTCCTCCTACACACACCTGCTGACCTGTCCTCACTCTGCCCACCTGCTGCCCGCACACAGCCTTCCAACCTCCACCTCCAGACTTCCCCGCCGCGCGCCTCTGAGCTCCCTCACCCCCACCCCCTCGCTGTCACGCCTCACACCACAACCTTCGCCCAACACCACCGCGATGTCCAGCGCCCCTGGGAGGCGGACAATCCGCCCGGGGCTGCGGTCCAGGAGTGACTGCGATGGGGGACAGGAAAGCACCCAGGGTCATGCGACCCGTGGCCTTCTTGGCTCCTTTCCCTAGCAAGTGTCAGGTCTCGTGTTCTGCATAAATCCTCTGCCTCAGAATTCTTACCTGGGGCTCTGCTTTCAAGAGATACTTCCTACCCAAGCTGCCACCTACCTGGACCTCTCCACTCCAGATTCCCTCGTCAACCACCAACCTAACAAAGTGCAAACTGGCCTTCCTCCTCCCCTTGTATGATACGGCGTCTCCTGATCTAAGCCTTGAAGAGCAACGTTAGCTCTTTCCTCCCCAATCCCTTAAACCCATGCTCTTCCCCTCCTACGCCTCGGTCCGTGGTCCAGGGTCCCATCACTTCTCCTGTGAGCCGCCCCCTAGCAGCCAGCAGCTCCGGGCTGGAAAAGCTCGCAAGCTCTGGGGCACCTACTCCTTCTCAGCCATTTGCTCTTGGTTCACCCGCCTGTGCTTCAGCTCCGCTCCCAAAGTGGGGAAGGGGGCGCCCGCACTGGGGCTTGTGAGCGCGGGCGTTACTGAGCCCGCGCGCGCAAGGTGCTCAGAGCCACGCCTGGCAAGGGACAGAAGCACGCCCAGCACGGACAAAGCAGCATTCTAAGACTGTCTCTCTATTACAACATTTGAGGATCAAACGAGAGCGCCGATGCAAAAGCCCTGGAGCTCGCTGCGCAGCTCAGAGCGACCGTACTTAATGACTCCTCCGTAGCTGTCCCCCGACCCTTAGAGTTTAAGAAACAAGTAAAAGGCACCAATTTGCCTCTTTCTCTGTGGAGAACTACTGATTTTACCGCGAATATATGGTCACTGCTTTGGGCTCTCCTTGGAAGTCTAGCGAAGAACTGTCTCTTGTTTTACACACGACAAGTCTGAAGCAGAGACTTCGTGTGTGTGTGTGTGTGTGTGTGTGTGTGTGGTGTGTGGTGTGTGTGCATGTGCGGTATGTGTATGTGTGCACACACGTGTGTATGTATGGTGTGTGTGGGCGGTATGTGTGTGGGCGGTATGCATGTGTGCATCTGCGGTACGTGGGTGGGTGGGGTGTGTGTATGTACATGTGTACATGTGTGTATGTGTGTGCACACGTGTGTATGTATGTGTGCAGGTAGTATGCGTGTGTGCGTCTGCAGTGTGTTTGGGTGGGGTGTGTGTATGGTGTGTGTGTGTGGTATGTGTGTGTGCATCTGTGGTACGTGTGTGTGTGGGCTGTGTGTATGGTGTGTGTGTGTGGTGTGTGTGTGCGTCTGTGGTACGTGTGTGTGTGCGCGCGGTATGTGTGTGGGTGGGGTGTGTGTATGCTATTGTGCGTGTGTGGTATGTGTGTTGTGGGTGCATGCGTGTGTAGTACGTGTGTGGTGTGTGCACACGCGCACGCACTCTGGAAACAAAGCCAAGGGGAATGTCCGGCTGAGACCCGCAGCCCGCCTTCCTCCCCTGGGGCCCTTCTCTTGCAAGGGGTGGCAGAAGTGGCACCTGAGGTCAGTGAGAGGAGGGGCACAGGCACGACCGCAGGGCAGGGCCACCCTCACCTGATGTTACTTCCGTCCTCGGACTTGGGGTAATCTTCCCACTTGCTGGTGGAGGTCCTGCTCATCATGTACAGCCACCGCTGGCGTGCAGGTCTGGGGTAGGCCTCGTATTCGACAATCAAATCTACATTTTCTCCCTCATTTACAAATACAGTAGTGTTCGTCATGGAGAAGATATTAATGAATCCTTTATCTAATTAAAATAAGACAGAAACTGTTATCTACCATTATCCTGGCCAAAAAAAACCAAAAAACAAAAAAACCCCTCCTCTTGGGAATTACAAGGTGATCGACTGACCTCCAGCCCTCACTGGCAATAACCACAACCAAGAAAAACCGAACTGGCTGTGTTACCTTTTGCCTCGCTCTTGCAGACCTGCTGTCCCAGTGCGAGAAGCAGACACCGGAAACACGGAGGCTCTCTTCCCTGTCTCCGAAGCAGGCCTCTGAAAGACCTAGCATCACCTCTGAGGTCTTCTTAATCTACTACGCCTTGACGTTTACTAGGTTAAAATGTGTTTGAATTAAACGGCCCAGATTCAGACTCAGTGAAACTGTTTATGGGATCAGGTGTCGTAAGTGAAAGGAAAGAGACATCACGTCCAGCAGAGATACTGAAAGAACGTCATTTTGTATGAAGAAAAATAAACACCGATCCACGCCATCTCCTACTGACCAATCAGACAGCATTTTAACCACCAGGCCATACTTTTGACCAAGCCACAGAGTTGACTGCTCTCTGACTTTTAAAGAGGGGACAGGTTTTGAGGCTTTTGGGAAGCAATAGCAGAAAAAGTGTCATAAGAGACGTAAATACATAAACATTTTTCAATGTCCATGTAGTGAAATTAACTAAGGTAACAGGAGAAAAGGACATTAGAACGTAGAAGCAAAACTGTTTGGCTAAACTAGTAATTAAAATTATGATCCTGCTTTTCACTTATTAAAAATAGCAAAACTAATTTAAAACAAATTCAACAATCTTGCAAGTGTGATAAAAGTAGCACACAGAATTACACACTGTAAAACTGGCACAGTTCTTTTAAGAAAGCATTTAGCCATATAGATTTTTTTATATTATCTATTTTTAAACCAAATCCTATAATTTCCATTAGAGAGTGTTTCTTAAAATGGGGTGGATGGAGATACATACTAAAAAGTGCCACTTTTACTGTTTATAATTTTCAAATGACAAAATAAAGAACTGGCTAAATAGATAATACAGCCTTAGAGCTGGTCACATAATAAAGAGCTTGAAAAGGGGCACTCATCACTGTCAACATTATTTTTATAGTCACTATTTATAGAATGTTTACGATGTGCCAACAACTGCTCTGAGCATACATTTCACTTCATACACGTTTACTCTTCCAATAATACTGAAAAATAAAGCTTTAACCTCTGCGCTATGGACAAAGAGAAAAGTTATAGATCGAAAGCCTCTAATTTGTAAACAGAGCTTATAACCTCTAACTTATAGATGAACTAGATGATTTATACTTGGCTCGAAAGCCACACAGCAGAGACTAGCTGAGACTACAAGTCTGAGACGTGAAGGCTGGCCTCTTCCTTCTGCAGCATATCCTGGAGTCTCTATATACTTTAGGTGAGAGACAGTAAGAATATAAATAAAATTGTATGTATAATTAAAATTCTTATATACAAAAATACAAGCAATGTACCCAAAATCCTAAAAATGGTTATATCAAATTAATGGGATTATGAAAGAATCTTAACTTTATTCTATGTATTTTTCAAACCTTTATCATGGATTATAAAATTATCATTAACTCTGATGCTATCTAGTTGCCTACAGTGTCCTACAAAAGGATGTCACTGTGGTTTCTACTGTCCTTTAGTTTCCTATACATTCACAACAAAAAATACGGTTCAACTGTTCTTTTTCCATTCTACCAATTAAAAAAGGATTTTTCAGGCAAGAATGAAGGTTATCCAGATGAAAACTGGAGAAAGACGAAACTCCCAACCCTGTACATGAATCATAAATGATATACTCTCTGCCATTCACGAAGACAGTTAAGGTTAATTTTAAGGAGTAAGTGTTTCAACCTGCACGCTACATTAAATTCTCAGGTTCCCAAGCTCAGAAATGCACAGTACACAATGGAAAACATTCAAATATTTCAAATAATATTTGTACTGACGCTATTTCCTTCACAACAGCCATATATAAATACCTAAGTCCTCCTGAATTTTGTTACCCTCACTGAATATAGGATGATGTCTTCTTACGTATAAGGGAGCAGAGCTTCAAATTCTCAGCATGTAAGAATTATTAGAAGTCTACCTTGGCTGCTATAACAAAGAATCAAAGACTCTACCCAAGTTGTTATAACACAAAGTATAATTTTGCACATACTTCTGCATTAAGAAACTGGTGATGTGTTAACAAGTAATCAAGTGCAAACTCTTTACCTGACAGTTTCATGAAATCTACCGCCTTTTCTCCTTTGCACAGCCCTGGGAGTTACGAGACTGTTTCTCAGCAGAGAAAACGCAGCAGGGCTAAAGCGGGGCGCACTAGGAAGTTAAGTAGCAGAGCCCACCGCTGAAAACCCAGCCAGCTTCCAGCCGCTCTTGCCCCAGCTACAAGAACATGCAACTGTGAAATGGTGCGTTACACCAAACCGCCTCACCCTGTCTGTGCACACATCCTCACTGTAATGCATGTGCCTCAGCTATAAATGACTGTTTTAACGTTATTTAAAAACAAAACAACTCAGGATGGCCCCCAGTCCATGTTCCTTCCCCACTCCGCGTGGCACCCAAATCCTCCTCCGAGTCCCCAAGTGTTACTTTTCTCTCCGTGCCTGCTCCTGCTCCACCACACCTCACTCCCACAACAATACAGAAGGAGATTCAGATTTCACAGCCACAAGTCTTTCCAGTCACACATTTATAATTCTTGGAAATTGATGAATGGATTTTTAAAATCCGATTACATACAACAATATGCTCCAAACATCCTTACTAATTGCTTTCTGGAGCTGAGGCTGATATATCAACACGCTCCCTAATCAACTTAGCAAATTACTGCTTATGGCGTTTAATATTTTAAAAGCATAGCTTTCTATTCAAATGAATAAGTGGTTCACAGTCACGTTTCGGGACAAAGTAGTGCTCTTTCTGTGTGCCGACTGTAACTGCAAGTGAGGCATCTTCTCTGGTTCGGTCTGCTGAGATCCTTCCCATCAGAACATGGCTTCAGAAACACCACAATTTTATGAGAGGGCTGTGGGACAAATCAGAGCTCTATCCTGCTGCATAAGTTATTGAAGCAGTTCGGGGAGGGGAGAGGAGAGACACGAAAACAAACACTGTGCCATTTTAGTGCCACTCAGGATGGCAAATGTCACCACCCTGGAGTATTTAATCACAGCCAAGCACTAAAAATATGGCTGCTTTAAAAAGGTAAGAGGGCCAGGATCTAGCTCAGTGGCACAAGCGCAAGGTCCTGAGTTCGATTCCCAGTACCAAATAAAATAAAATAACAAGAAAAATTAATTCAAATTTGAAGAATTTAAAGATTAAATTCAAACCAGGTTCAAAAGGTCTTTTAAAAAGCACAAGAGAAATAATTTTAAAATAATTACTTTGTTCTCAGTAAAGCAAAAACGTCAAATAACTCACCGTCCTCTGCTCTCTTTAAGTCGATGTGGGGAAACAAGTATTTAGCGGGATTTCTAGAGTAGGGAAGACAAGGACAGAGCGATTTTGCACAGCAGCGAGGCTGGTTAGCTGCAGGTGAGGCCCATGTCACAACGAGCCTCCTTCCCAAAGGCTTAGGCTACGGTCTTTATGGTTGCAGAACAGGGTGAGGGAGCGAGGGACAAACGGCACCAGGTGCCCAGCTCCCCCCATACCACACATGCAGGAGAGCCCACGAGTGATAAAGTGGCGAGCCCCAAGAAGATCCAGAGAAATACTCTAGGCTCTGAGCATTTGTGCTCTCTGACAAAGTGTACAACCAGAAGGAGTAGAATTTCAGAAAAAGCCCAGCTTCTACTTTGCTTGGTGGGTGGAGGAGGAGAGGTCAACTTCAGGAACATCTTTCTGCTTTCCTCCGTTAAACTGGTAGGAATTGCTTTTGTACGCTAGTCGCAGGATGCCACAGGGATAATACTCATTCATTCATTCATTCAGTGATAATAAAATTCTGAGGATTTGTTCTTAGAATTCTATTTGCATAAAAAGGAAACTGTCTAGTAATGCCTTCTTTCACGAGTGCCAGTAATTTACACATTCCCATAGAGATATTTACCTACTACTTTCAAAGTTGTTGTGACATTTGCTGATCCAAAAGTATTATTGGCGTAACACATGAACACTCCAGAGTCATTAACTCTTGTTGAGCTGATTGTCAGCGTCTCCTGGCGTTCGTAATTGAAGTCGCCCTGATGCCAGCTATTACGTTTTACCTGGGCTTTAGTTAGCTGGTTGCAGAAGAGGGGGGAAAAAAATAAAAGATTACCATATAATTTATATTCAAGATCTTTCCTAAATTAAAAATAGCAGCAATTAACTTCTTATTAGCATTCATTATACATGCCTTAAGTAGGAATAATACAGCATCATGACAAGCTTGTCACTGGAACCTTCATATTGCAGACCCACACTCAAAGACAGTCATTATTAATGATTACAAAAAAACAGGGACACTAATTTCAAATTCCCTACAGTATTAAGTTTTAGAAGTTACTATATTAAAAAATTACACAACACCCACATTTTATGAGTCAGCGTATTTATGTTATTTGCTATTATCTTTCTGTTGTATATCCCAGTGATGAAAGAAAACCTACTGCTACTAACAACGATTTATTTTATTAACATTTCTTATCTGCAGAAAGGAGAACAGAATCAGACTGTTTTCAACTAATTTGGAAATTCACCCTACAGTTCTTAGCACAGTTTTGAGGACTCCAGAAGGCGTGCCCAGGTATGTGAAACGTAAGACCGCGCCCCAAAGTGTCTGCGCGGCAGCTGAAGAGCAAGGTTGTGAGCTGACCCCGTGGCCTCCCTGCCACGCACTCTCTGTCTGCAGACAGGACACTGGAGATAGGTTGATCTAATATGAAAAAAAGTAACATAAACTACAGCCGTTCTGGTGAAAGGATTAAAGAATTGAAAACAGCTTTCTGCCTCCTCCGAATTTTCTGTAAGGTACACATTCCCATTATAATGCAGAAAAAAAAAAAATAAAAAAAAAAATCAAAGTGCACAGGAGCTGTTACAGCCACAGAATGAGATGAAGAGATTCCTCGGGCAGGCCATGGTGGCCCGGATAGAGTGGGAGTCGAGGCCAGTGTGTGAGCCGGAACGACCCTTCTGTACAGCAGCTTGGTAGTCTGCTCACACCCTGATAATCTCAGCATGTTTATTTCAAGAAAATAATTTTTCTCTTTTTTCTTTTTGGTACCAGGAATCAAACTCAGGACCTTCCGCTTATGAGGCGAGGCAGCAGCTTGTGTCACTGAGCTATATATATCCCCGGTCCCTTTAAGAAAATAATTTAAAAGAAGACAAAACTCCAAGATGCTAACTGTAGTGAAAACCTGAAATGACCTAAATGTGTTTCAGGCCCAGATAACAAAAATTATGACTGACTATGTGGTAGATAAATGCTAATGTTACTTAAAAAGCATATGTGGGATGTACCTTAAAACTACAACCATGTGATAAAATATGCATAGATGAGAAAAAAATATGAAAAAAATTACAGGTTATGTAGCATTCATAAAGATAGCAACTTGTGACCTCTAAGCACTTAGCTTTTGATAGCCCAGATTGAATTACGCCATAAATATGTTTAAATTGTCCCAGATTTTGATGATTTGTCATAAAAAACTAACGCAAAATACCTTATTAATAGCTTTTATATTAATTATAAGATGAAATAGCATTTGGATACACCAGGCCAAGGAAGATATATTATTAAAATTAATTTTACCCTTTCTTTTGTTTTTGGCAATGTGACTTACAAATTGAAAATTAATGTGAGGTTCATTAGTGTTATATTTTTCTTACACAGAATTACTTCCTGCAAAGGTGGGATTATGCCTATTTCTACTTTTTTTACTAGTGATATTGTATTATTGGAATTTTTTTTGGTGGGGTGAGTGCTGGGGATTTAATCCAGGGCTTTGCACTTGCTGGTGTGTGCTCTACCACTGAGCTACATTGCCAACCCAATTTTTGAAAAAATTTTACATCAAAATAAGCATGCATAAAAGTTGACAGCTGCTGGTAAATCAAAAGCAGAGAAACTGGCTTTGCTATCGCTACGAACTCTCGGGCAAGTCAGATACCACCAGTCTTAGCTTTTGTTCTAAAAAGGTTATGAAGAAACAAACATGTCTCTCAAGGCCTTTCTGGGCTAGAACACTATGCATCTGAGGCCACCTCTTCTGAGTTTCCTCTATAACTGGCAGGAGTCTGTCATTTTCTGCATAAGAACAATAGCTAAAAAGAGGCAACAGCAAAGCAAAGTGACATTTTCCTACTGGCCCTTCTGAGGCCACTGTTTCTCAGGTTCTCTCCAAAGGCAGTGACAATGCCTGGATAACACACTCAATTCTAAACTGAACCTATCTTCCCTCTGCCTCTTCCTCGAGGCCAAGAGTCCTCAACTGGTCAATGCCAGAGCAAATGGCTTCATCCTAAGTAAAGCAATATCCACATCCAAACCACAAGATCGTAATATAGGATATTGTCAAGCTCAGAATTTAAAGCAAGTAAAGTACTAGACTTCAGAACCATGAGAAAAGCTAACCAAGATTAAAAAGTGTTGAACAAAGTTCAAGATTCTTTTTATGCTTAAATAAATATCTGCAATAACCCGAAAACTCATTTTTACCCTGTATTTCATGATGAATTAACCTTATCCTAAATGATCAGGATCAAATATTATGATTTTAAAGATAATTTAACAGTGCTAACAGTATTCCGAATTAAGCCAAAAATATCAATAAAAAATTCATGGGTGAACGCTGGCAGAGGGCCAGGAGTCCCATCTGCAAGTCACACATCACACACTGTTCACACGTGATTTGGTTTTCTTTAACCCTTGGCAGTGCAAGCTGGGATCTCCCCAAAGAGCTCTCCACACTAAAGGTTTATCTACCAGCGCCAGTGGATTAATTGGGAACGGCATGCAGGGCTCCTGGGAAAAATGGTGCAGAACCCAAGCGCCTTGGGCAATTTAATTTCTCATCGCAAAAAGGCTAATTTTCAAGCCATACACAGGCTCAAATGTACACATGCAGTCTAAATTGTTCTCTCATCTGAAATCAAAGCTTATAGAAAGCCAATTAATATGGTGTTGTGTCTTGTAAAGTTAGCCAAAAATCCATACAGAAGCCATTATTTTTATTGCATTAGATGATATGAAAACTAAAACTTATTTCCCATATTCAATGACTGCTATATGTTAGTCCCATGGTAGCCATATCCATGCTGGTTTGAAAGAACAAGTCTCTGATACAGACCGTCCTCCAGATCGACAGCAGGACTGATGGACCAGCTAGCATCCATCATGTCTATGTGGACACCACCCTCAGTGTCTCCATATTATGCTAATCGCCACAGCTGGGTGTTTAGCAGAGCATCTTTAAATAGGCATGAAATTGCCAATGTTGAATATAGGGGCTAAGGAAGAGGAAAATTAAATGGAGTATTTTTTCTAATTTATATATACATTTATAATGAAGAGAAACCAGCGTGATTGCTAGTTAGCCAGGTGACGAAGATCATTCAAAAAAAAAAAAAAAATTAAAATCTCACTCAACTGGAATCTTAAGGCAAAAATATTAGAGAAATTACAACAATTTTAAGATCTCATTATTAATATGAGTATTGAGAGGGGGAAAATACCTTCAAATAAAACTCAAACAGGCACGTGCCTATAATCCCAACACTTAGGAGGCTGAGGCAGGAGGACTGCCTTGAGTTCAAGGCCAGCCTGGACTACATAGAGATCAGGGTGAGCCCGAACTACAAGCAAGACCCTGTCTCCCCCAACCCCTCCGAAAAACCACCTAACTAAAATTGGCCTGGGACGTGGCTCAGTGCAGGGCTTGCCTAGCACGTGCGAGGCCTGGGTTTGATCCCCAGCACTGCACACAAACACACACGCAAAGGATATGGCTACCATGGGACTAACATATAGCAGTCATTGAATATGCATTTGTTAAATGAATGAGAACTTAAGTACGTCTAAATGTTTCAGCTTAAAGATAACTGTCTTATTAATGGCAACTAAAACAAACAGAAAACCATTAGCAACTTCATCTCAGGGAACCAGCATCAAAGGAGGAAATCAGACCCCCACCTACCCCCAAAAATCTCCCAAGCGATGAGGCCGTACTGGAGGGGCGGGAAGACCTCTCTTGCTCACATCTGAGACTGTTTAGTTTTTGTAAATACAGAATGGTCGGGCAACTCTTTCTACGGTCTTAAGTCATCTGCCTTGAGCAGCACCATAGCTTTCAACCAGGCTATTTATTCATGCAGTTAACCATTCCTTCTTTTCTTTAATGTCCTTACTAAAATCATTCAGAGAAACAGCGTTAAGTAGCAACACCGGGCTGCCATTCTCTGCAGTCTTCTCAGAATTTACATGACAGCTGTTTGTCACTAATGTGGAAGTGCAGAAGGGCCAAGCGTGCATCTGCACGAACGCTCCCAGAAAACTTCAATTAGACAGACACACCAGTGGACTCCTGCCCAGCAAGGCTTTCAGAGGAAAACCTCAGAATCTCCCACACAGACAGAACGATACAGTAAGACAAAGGAAACAAATAGTCCACTCACCTGACTGTTCTCCTTTATCCACATTGCGCCCACAGAACTAGACACGTCTTTTATTGTACACGTCACTGTAAATTCTTCCCCTGCCCTCAGAAGATAGCTGGGTTTAGACACGGACACAACTGGTATAGCTTTGATGGCTAGAATAAAAAGAAGTGGAGTCCTCAAATAATTGGCTCTGTTATAGCTTCACATTTTAACTTGCCTTTTCCCCCTACAATGTACATAGCTTACTGTGTCATCTTTTAAATAAAATACAAAATGCGGTACTAACCTACCCGTATTACTGTTATATCTGAAGACCTCCACAATTAAATCACGTATCCTTCAGGTAAATGCATTAATAATGAGTGACAAAGTAGGCATGTCCACATGAGATCACAATGCTTCTGGAAAATGCTTTTTTAAAACAGGAAGCCTTGGCATGGCGAAGCAGCTCTGCGATTTCACGGGATCTGACTTATACATAATTATATTCTTCTACCCAAACAGGCACCTTTCTCACTTGTTACACAAACAATACTTTGCTCTCTTCTGAAAATCCCAAGTTTGTTTGGTTTTTGAGACAGGATTTTGCCATGCAGTTCAGGCTGGCCTGGAACTTGCAATGATCCTCCTGCCTCAGCCTCCCAAGTGCTGAGACTACAGGCATGTGCCACCATGCTCAGCTAAAATTCCAAATTTTAAATTTAAATAATCATGTTTTCCTTAATTTGAAGAAGCATACTTTTTCAAAAGCCTTAATAAAAACTCTACTCCAAAGCTGAACGTCAACTGGTATCAAGTTAGGTAATTTCAAAATCTAGATCATGTTCCAGATACTGAAATACTGTTTATGATGCCACAAGACCAGGCCCCTGTCACTTGTTACTTTCCTTTTCAATTCTCAAATAGTTTGAGAAAGCATCAAAATTGATTGGCTAAAGAGAAAAGCCAATTCACAGGTCAATAGTAAATTAAAGAATGAATTAGTAACCCCAGAGATTCAGGAGGCTAAGGCACGAGGATCACGAGTTTCAAACCCAGCCCACATGATTCAGAATCCCCGTCTCTAGTCAAGGGCTGGGCGTGTCGCTCAGCGGCAGAGCACTTGCCTAGCATGTATGAGGCTCCGGGTTCCATCCCCAACGTGTGGGAACAGTGTGATTAAGCTTCCTTCCCACTGGGTTCTTTACTGTGCAAATGCACGAAGCAGTCATGCAAGTGTGAGACCACCCAAGTCCGTAGGTTCATGACCGTCCCAGGACGGTCTAAATGCCAGTCTACGGCAGACACACCCACCTCAGCTAGTGAAAGTCACTGACCACCACTTGGGCTTGGGGTTAGGAAATGACAAGCAACTATCTTAATCTGGAAGCTGGGGTAGCTCAAGAGCCTGGGTCCCAGCCGGGCGTGGTGGCACATGCCTGTGGTCCTAGCACTCGGGAGGCTGAGGCAGGAGGATCGTGGCCCGTTCAACACCAGCCTGGGCTACAAAGTGAGCTCAAGGCCAGTCTAAAGTGCATAGCAAAACCCTGTCTCAAGACAAAAAAAAAAAGAGAGAGAGAGAGAGAACCTTGGTCCTGCTTACCCACACCAAGGCTGACCAGCAAGGAAGACAGAAAATATCTAGATGAACAGAGCCTCTGAAGCCCAGAAGGAAGGGGCCATACCTGCCCTCACTTTCAGGGTGAACCTGTCCGACTGCACCAGCTTGCCCTCCCGGCTGGCAGTGCAGCGCAGACAGAGTCGGTGGTAGGCACGCCGCACATTTTTGATGACGATGCCGGCCTTGGGGTCGGGCACGAACACGAGGTCCTTGGGGAGAGGCTTCCCGTCACACTCCTTGAGGGAATAATCGGTCATCTCTGGGTCCGTCACAGGACAGCGGACCAGCGTGTCATTATCTTCTTTTCCATACAAGGGAAGACCGGTAAGGAAAGGCTTGGCGGGATCTAGGGACAGCAAAAACCAGTGGTTTAAACGGCTGGTCACGAGCATCTTTAACAGATCTAAAATGGTGCCTTTTGAGACAGTCAAATCTGTGAAAACAAATGCAAAAACTTATCCAGATAGTACTAACAAGAGTTAACATGTGTCAGCAACCAAGGTTGGACCACTACGTTTGATCTTATTTAATCTTTACAGTATCTCTGGGTACTACAGGTTGAGGAGCCTTTTTCCAAAATGTTTGAGATCAGAAGTATTTCAGATCTGGGAATATTTGCATAGGCTTTACCAGCTGCGTACCCCTAATCTGAAATCCACACCCCAAAACTTGTGGCGTCATATTGTAGTTGAAAACATTTCAGATTTCTGGATTTGGGATGATTTAACTTATATCATTATCACCACTTTCTGGATGAAGAACAAGTGTCAAGACAGTGACACTGCTCAGGCGACATACTCTGGAAAATGCTGTGTAGACCTCAAATCCAAATCTGAATGAGCCCACAACTTGGGCTCTCATGAATGTTTTACTAGAATAGTTTTTTTCTCTCTCTCCCCTACAACAGGAGCAGAAGGTTTCGCTGCCTCTAACCCTCTGCGCAGGACCTTTTTCCGGAGCTGGTTCAGCTTTCTCCAGAATGGTTCAGCTCCTGGAGAGAATCTAGACAACTCTGAGCAGGCTGGGAAGTGCAAGTAACATGTGACCTCCCTCTACTCACATTCCCGATGAGAAATACATGCAACCAGAAAAAGAAATAATCTCAAGTGCACACGAAGAGCTATGAGTCTCCAGAACACCATGGCGGACACGGGACTCCCCCAACGAGGACCCTTGCAAGTGGAAGGGGCAGTCCGGATCATTATGCCACGACCCCAGACATAGGCAGGGAACGGCTCCAGCAAACACAGGCGTCTCACAAGTGAAGACAAGCATGTGTATTCTGAGGTACAGTCTGCTGCCGTCCCTCTGAACACAGATGAATGGGTGGGTCCACTGATTACATTTCAAAATCTGTTTTCAAATTGTCCTTTCATCTGGAAATCAGGTGTCCTAACAAAGCTGAATTTGACATCATTAAGATATCCTATATTTTATCAATTAATGACAAAAATGAAGTTCATACCTCTTGGCATTACTAATTTCCCTGTGAATAAGTTACAGTATGATGGCCAAATTATGACCTGAAGCAAGAGTTGATTCTTCTTCTGTCTGCTCATTTCCAGCCATCAGAGTCTGCCTTACAACTACGGCCTGCTTTCTTCCATGGCTGTGACATAGATTACTGCAGAATCTGCACGGCTTAAATTGTAATAATTATGGACGGAGCTAAGTTACAGAAGTGTGTGTACTCTGTCAGCCAGGTAGCTAATCCTGAAGTTCCCCTGAAGTATACAGTTTTCCGCCCACCCTATTAATAAGTGGAATGATATTTCATGGCCACCTGGAAATTCCAGCATACAGCCTGCCGCAACAGTGATGAACTGTAGCCCAAAGCTAAGCTGCGGCTTATCTGCGTGTATTTCTTGTCAGCCGCCTACTTAGGAAAGGACAACTGATAAGAAAGGAGAGGTACAGTCAATTTCACGGCAATCCTCAAGGTCAGCTTTATTAACCCCGATGGAGTGTGCCGGAATTTGCATCCTTCTTTCCCTCTCTTACAGTTCCCTAAGGCAGAGGAGGTCTCCTTATCCAAACACTGCAAGGAGGAAACAGATGCGAGGCAGCCACCGGGCACCCACAGCACGTGGAGAAGGCTTCTGACCTCAGGCCTGTCTTTAGTGACAGCCCCAGGCCTGGTACGCCCAGGACAAGAACCAGGCCTTCGAGTCTCCTCCTGTACATCTGTTTGACTCGTCCTTTAAACTGTCAGCAGTTCAGTTTTTAGTCAACCAAAGGATACAGCCTTGCCCAGCAAGACGGTGAAAGCACAGAGAGATGAGTCACTAGATGGTCAAAGGAAATGAGGCAGAGGAAGCCAATGGTCACATTTCTTTTTCTTCTGTTTCTGAGAGATCACGTTTTCAAAAGGAAACCAGCTCTACACACCACCTGTGACAGACATGGGATGCCTGGCTGACCAAGTTGTTTTTGTTTTTCCTAATCTACTCCCTGAGAGTGGGCCAAATCTTTTGAGGTGCTGGTGGACTGAGGCTTTGCAGGACTTTGGCTCTCTGAAGTGCTTTTACTAAGTGAGAATATCTAGAACCTCAAGGCATTAAGATGCTTCTGTCCAGCGGGCGCCATTTATGCTCAGGGTTTCCTCGGAGCACAGGGGCACATGGGCTGAGCGTACCGTGATCCCATTGGAAGACCATCATAGCCACGCACACCAGTAGCTGTGGTCGCACTCAAAGCCACCAAGCAGCGAAAGCTGACGGAAACCAACAAAGCAACTCTCGGTTCAGACTTTCTCAACTCAGCCAACGAAATGTTACCTACGACTTAGTCACCTGCACGTCACCCAGTTAAGAAGCGGGTATTAAGTCCTCTAAAGCCCAGCATCACAGGAAGCCCAGCATTTACCTCTAACAAACACATAAATGGAGCTGCTTAAGCCGTGCTTGTTGCTGCACGTGTATCTGCCTGTGTGGATAGCCTCGGCGTTCTCTCTGACCCATTCGCTGTCCTGATGCTCGCTCGCGTGGGGATCCAGGCTCTTGAAAGTCCACCTGACGAAGGCTGGATCGGTGCACACCAGCCTCATCTGGTCACCAGCGCTCACTATTAACTCTGGCTGTGCAGGAAGGATGGATGGCGGAGACGGCTCCCCTGGACTCGCAGATGGTTGCAAAGAGCCTGCCAAGAAAAACAAGAATCTTGTTGAACGCGATCTCCTTCCTTGGCAAAATGAAGCATTTCTTCCACTACCGAGTCCCATCTTCTGTGCACTCTACAGTAAAAATAGGACGAAGCTGCCCTGCTATTTACGGCTGGAGAGGGGGTTGCATCTCAAGCTCATCTGAAGTGATTCTCTGCAACCCTCACGTAATCCTAGGGGTCAGGGTCAGGGGCTGGTGTGCAAGCTGGAACTTGCTGGATACCACAGGGTTACACATACAAATAGGTCAACTTTCCATTCCGGTTATGGACCGCTGTCACGGTGCTGACATGCTGACAGCTTCAAAATGAACTCTCACGCCGTGGAAGAAAAAAAAACCATCACCCAGTCACTCTTTGGCATGACATCTCTGAGTGTTTCTTCAAGCTTTCTGAATTCACTTATTTCTATCTAATTCTCCTTATATTACAATGTTCATCGAAAGGAGAACCATTCACAAATCCCCAAGCAATGAGACAGAACACAATCACCCCCTTAGAACGGTCAGATCGTATGTGGCATAGGCCGGTTTTCAAACTTATTAACCCATCACCCAGGTAAGTTTCCTAGGTGAGAAACCCGCGAATTTAGTTTATAAAGATACACACTGCAGATGCTGAGTATGACACTTCAACCTTATAAAATTTACATGCCAAATCACTCGCTCATGCACATACACGCATGCATCCATGTATTTGAGCTCTGCAAAAGCACCGTGCTCGGTGCTGGGGGAAAGTTCACGTCGGCGTGACGCATGACCACGACACACTTCAGAGCTTTGAAAACTAACTCCTTCGGTGTCAGAATAGCCGAACTACAGCTGCAGGTCTAAAGCGAATGAAAAGAAGTGGCCTGTACCTTGACCACAATAGGAGGCAAAGCAGAAGGAGAAGGAGGAGGCATGAGGGAAGGCCGGCACTGAGCGGGGCACGTGAGGCCTTTCGAGCGCCACAGGACCCAGCCTGGCCGGAAGCCAGGGCTCCCTGGGGAGGCCGTGAGAGGCAACACCAGGTGGGATGGAACCGGCCGTCGAGAGCTCTGTGCATCTGCGTATGACACCTGCAGTGTGCCCGGGACCACGCAGACTCGCGACATGCTTTTCGCAGAGAGGCGTGGCGAGCACCGCTCTGCAAGCAAGCTGACAAAACCCACAGTAAGAAGTTCAGAGCAAAGACGAAGACGACACTGGCAGGAAAAGAACACGTTAACGGTTACAGGCTTTAGTGGAAGAAAAACCCAGAACGCTGACTCATGAATGATTCGGTCAGGGAGCAGAAGGTCCCTGGGAGAGAAGGGCTAGCGCAACAGCACAGAATTCCTGAGAGGCTTTCAATCGCTTCCCTAGGATCATTCAGAAAATGGGTTGGGCATGGCGGCGCATGCGTATAACCCCAGCATTCAGGGGCTGAGGCAGGAGGATCTCCAAGAGTTTGAGGCCAGCCTGGGCTACATAGTGAGTTCAAGGCCAGCATAAACTCTGTAGGAAGACTTAAGTCTCAAAAAAAAAAAAAGCCAAAGTGAAGAAAAAGGAAAAGGGGCAGGGGGAGGGGAAGGGGAAGGAAAAGAAGAAAAGAAAATTAAAGAGACGAGACGAGAAGAGACGAGAGGAGAGGAGAAGAGAAGAGAAAGGTTCACGCGCACAGGACTTGTGCCCCTTCCACACGCAGCAGGCTGGAGAAAGACTGACCTGAGTTCTCAGGGAACAGTAAAGGCGAAGAAAGGGCACAGGGGACAAGAGCACGGGCATAAAAGCAGCAAGAGGAAGCCCCACACTGGCCGTTCACGACTTCAGGATGGCAGGGGCGGAGGAGGCGGCACGACCCCACAAGGGCTGGGACCCCACAGGGCTCAGCACCGACGGCTCTGGAAGGGGCGGTAAGCGGCTTCTCAGCGGCAGACTGTTTGCGAGCTGAAGCTCAGGCGGCCACAGCCAGCACAGGCACGACTTGTACAGTTAACGTTAGAAGTAAATAAATCAAGAAACAGGACCAAATCGTCACAGGGAAGAACTCAGCACCGACCTCAAAGGCCTCTGCCGGCCACGAAGGAGTCACGGGAGACCTTGTCAAGAGGACCCCTAAAGAGGACGGGAAGATGCCAGGACTCTGCAGGGAGCGCGGAGCTCGCCCGGAGGCTACCGGAGGAGGGTTGCCGGGACCGAACAAGAGCCCCGCCCTACACACACGGCCCTGGAAACCCAAGGACACGGCTCGGTGAGTGGAAATTTCTGTCTGCTCCAGGGCTCCAGGTTCCAAGCGCAGACCTCCCCTTGGACGCCTACGGCTCTGCAAGATTAAAGAAAAAAATCTGTCGCCAAACAAAGCTGAGAGGTAAAGAAAACAGAAACGCTCACACGTGAGGACAGAAGGGTCTTCAAAAGTGCTTCATAGAAGGGTTGAAGCTTCCCTGCACCAATGTGCCGCGAGGACCAATCTCATTTCCCGTTTATTATCCAAATATTTCACCGCGAGGCACTGAGGTAGCCCCATTGTGTCAAGCAAAGTACACCTGAGACCAAAGATCCCCAAGCAGCCTTGATTTGCTGGAAGCGACAAGGTCAGTGACAGTCATTACGTGTCATTAAGCGGCTACTCGGGAGCAGTGCTGTAAGGTGAGACGATCTGCATCCACTCAGCTTCGCGCCTAAGTGGGGCAGCCAGAATGGGGGCACGGAGGGGCCGGGACTGTCTCCAGGGCTGTACATAGTGTTCAGTAATGAAAACAGAAGGTGCAACTGCTGTATTTCAATTATTTACCCCTTTTCAAAGGAGGAGTTCAAACTGAGTCTGCTCAGAATACGGAGAGTAAACGTGATCCAAAAACTCCCCAAGGATTTATATGGCAACATATTTCAGTCAGGTCGGTTTCTCAAGTCTTGGTCTTACTCTGACACATCCAGGTAAGGGGCTTTAGCAGACTGCGCACATGTGGCTCTTGAATTAGCTCTGGGTTTGTCTGCATCCTGGCTGTGCCCCTTACTAACCCTGGGCACGGGACTACTCATTACTGCCTCGTGTTCTTCATGTGAAAGTGGGGTGGCAGCAGCCCCTATTTTATAGGGATTTTTTTTTTTTTTTGGTGTCAGGAATCGAACTCAGGGCCTTGCGCTTGCCAGCAGGCACCGTACCGCTGGGCTACATCCCTGGCCCCTTTATGAGGCTTTTGTGCAAAGCACTAGAACTGCGCTTGGCACACCGTGAACACGAAGCACACGCTGCACAACTTACTCTAGAAGCAGAACCTTGTAGCCCCGCACAGCGGTCTGGGCTCACCCACTTCCTGTTTCTGTGAGCGGCTCCCAGGGCGGCCCAGACGCTCCGGGCTGACTTCTCTCCCTACAGCAGCAGACCCGGCCACCCGCCCAGGGAGCCTGCGCCACACCTCCCAGGTTCCTCCCGCTGCCCTAGCCCAGACAAGCCACACTGTCTCCCATGGAGAGAACGAGCCACCCTAAGCACTTCCTGCCGCCACCTCCACTCCTCCACCGCCTCACCCTGAGGTCCACAGCACAGGTCCCCTTCTCAACCGCTTCGCACCAGCATCAAAGCCTGCGACAGGCGCGGCAGGGGCAGCAGCAAACACGGGCCTCGTGGAGGGCGTGAAAAGCACTTCCTGGGAGTCCTAGGACCAGCCCGCCTCTCCCGGCTGGGCCAGCTGGGGGTCCTGAGAGCATCCTCCACCCCTGCCTGCCCGGCCATCTCTCTCCTACATGCCCAAGGCACCCTTCTCCTCCAGTCCCCCTCCTGTCTCAGGGACAGCGCCCTTGAAGCCAGCCTCTCCATGCATGTGGACCTCCAGGCCGTGAGGACCGGTCCCCTAAGTCCTGCCTACACCGCCAGCAACACCACCTACTCTCCTGACCCTCAACAGCGGACCTAGTCCATCCTACACTCTCCCACTGCAAGGTCTCAGCACTCACATAAGCAAACGATCCCATCCCTCCAGCACAAGCACAAGCGTCCCTTCAATGTTTGAACACATAAAAGGTAGGTCAGGCTCCTAAGTGTCCAGTCCGTATACGGCTGCAGTCTGCCACCGTGCCCCAAACGATGATCCATGTCAATTCTGTTAGTCCACCGAGAAGACAGCTTGTTTCACTGATTCGAACAGTTCCGGAGAGAGGTGCCGTGGTGTACATCTGTAATCCCAGCTACTCAGGAGGCTGAGGTGGGAGGATCCCAACTTCAAGGCCAACCTGAGCAACTGAGGAAGAGTCTGTCTCAATGTCAAAAACTATTTAACAGGCTGAGGATGTAGCTCAGTAGGCAGAGGATTTGCCTAAGATGAATAAGGCCTGCAAATTCAAGATCATTACTTTATGCTTAACTTCTGGTTTTATGAAATAACTCTTAAAATAATTACCACCAGGAGCATTCAGGGTTTTATTTTCAAAAATAGTAAGTTCAATCTTCAAACTCACACTATAAAATAGCTTTATTAGGATGGGCCTGTGGGTAATGTGTATTCCCTTGTTTCCAAACTATCTTAAATATTATAATGGTCTCACTATTAGGAAAAACGTAGAGATTAATGAGAGGGAGGATCAGAGACAGACAGACTGACTGAACGGCTCACATTAAAGGAACATCTTTTAGAAGGTAAATCAACTGAGCTTTGAAACTGCTTTGAAATTATACATCAAGAAATGTATCTTGTCAGGAATAGTGGTACATGCCTATAATCCCAGCACTCAGAAGGCTGAGGCAGGAGGACTGCTACAAGTTCAAGGCCAGCCTGGACTACACAGTGAGTTCAAGGCCAGCCTGAGCTAAGGTAGCGAGACCCTGTCTCAACTCAACTCCCCTACCCCAAAGAAGAAGAGGAGGAGGAGGAGGTAGTAGAGGAGGAAGAGGAGGAGGAGGTAGAGGAGAAGAAGGAGGAGGAGGAGCAGCAGCAGCAGCAGGAGGGAGAGAAGGAGGAGGAGGAGGAAAAAGAATTGTATCTGATACACAGCTAGTTCCCAAGAAATGTTTGTCGAATTGTATTTTACTACCTTAAGAGTGTTTGTGTTGGTAAACATACTCTCTTAAGTTCGTCTGGCCACATTATGTTTGGTTAAAACTTGTCTTCAGTCAGGCACGGCAGTGCACACCTGTAACCCCAGCACGCTGGGAAACTGAGACAGGAGGATCAGAAGCTAGAGCCAAGCCTGGGCAATTTAGAGAATTAGCAAGTCCCTGTCTTAGAAATTTTTTACAAGGCCAGAATATAGCCCAGTACAAAGGGCCTGGGCTCAATCCCCAGTACAAAATGAACCCCAGTTATTTCCGTTCCCCCAACAGATGTTCACTTACAAGACAAAACCCAAAACCCATCACCGCCACTCTAGGGACAGACTCCTATAATGAACGCTTGCTTGACGAGATAATCCGGGCACCGCTCAGTGGGTACTGACCGCTGGTGCCCTGCTAAGGGCTGAACCTCCAAGACTGTCCTTGCTCACCCAGAGCAGAAAGACAGTCCCTCAGCAAGGGCAGCACTTAGGAACAGTCAACGATGCAGGACTTAAAAAGCAGTGCCCACATGTCCGCCGCTCAGATTCTCCAGGTACTTGCAGTATCTCCCCTAATGTTGGTAAAAAATTTCACTGTACCCAGAACTCAAAGCAGGAACTCAGACAGACACGTGTGTACCAACGTTCATAGCAGCCAACAGCCAGAAAGCGGCCATAACCCAGCTATCCGTCAGCAGGGAAATGGGCAGGTCAAAGGCGACGGCCACATGCAATGCAGTGTCAGAGACACAGAAGCGAGGTGCTGACACGCGCCGCAGCACAGCACGGGCGGCTGTCCTGCTAAGCAGGGAGACCAGGGGGACAGAGCACTGGACAGTCCCATGTGCACAGATACCAGGAGAGGGTTCGTTCACAGACGCAAGAGTAGAATGCAAGCAACGAAGACTCCAGTGTACAAAACATTTTCTTCGGAAAGATTCCAAAAATAGGTAGCAGTGACGGTTGTACTATATCATAAATATACTTAACTCAGTATTGTACATTCTATCACAAACCTTTTTTTTGAAACAGGGTCTTGCTATGTAGTTCAGGTTGGTCTCGAACTTACTATGTAGCCCAGGCTGATCTTGAACTCAGGATGATCCTCCTGCCTCAGCCTCCCGAGTTCTAGATTACAGTACCATAATTCTTTTAAACTCAACCATTCTTCAAGGCCTGAAGTCCAAAACCTTCCCCAGTTGCCCTGGCTCTTTCCCATCTGACTAGTCCCTCTAGCGAAGCCTCTGTGAGTCCCTGAGGTGTTTCAAATCCCATTATAACATTATTTGAATAACCTGTGATTGTTTTGAGTTGCTCCACATAGTTGTGCCTGAGGCACAAAGCACATCACCTGTACCAAGCAGGAGCGGATAGCAGAGTTCCTCACTCAGAACAGAAGGCCTGGAAGCTCTTCTTCTCAGACACTGGGGCCTGGGGAAGGACATGGGCCAGACCTTTCCTCTTCTGCTCACCCCACCTGACCGCCTGTTTTAGTCCCAAACCTGGTGACGGGAGTAGTGCCTGGCAGCGTATTACGCACCAATGGCATGCACAAAATGATGCTATGTGAACTGACCAAAGACGCAGGAGGCTGAGGATCAACTAGGACCACGTGGGTCACGCCACTAGAACAGCTCCACCACGGAATCCAATGTGCAGGACTCAGAGGGGGCTCCACTTTACAAAATCCCAGAGCAGTTCTGCACGTGGCCTGTTCCCGAGGACGGACCTTGCACTTGGGGTGTGGCACGTGGCCAGGCTGGCAGCTCAGGACTCTCCTGACAGCTGTCAATTAACCAAAAGCAAAACACAATAACTAGATTTTTAAAAAGGCTTTAGCCCTCTATCAAGAGATACGCCAAAGTTAAATATTCAAGACATACCTGCATTTTTTCACAGTATGTCAATTTAACAGAGTAGCTGAGAGTCCAGCCGGCCGCTCTGGGCTGGGGGAGCTCTGTGTGCGGGGCACCTGCTTCCTGAGCACGGGGTCTCGTCTGCTGCAGCGCTGGTGACCCATGGCAACCATCACGGCCAGATCACTGTGCCCGTCACAAGTGTCTAGAGCTAAAAGGCCTGGACTTGCAACGGGGTGAAAACAAAAGTCATTTCAAAACCTTTCCTCCTTTGAACACAAATATAAGGAACCAGGTAAAACAATGGCTGGACAGAAAACCCAGAGACAGAAGCCGATCCTGATTTTCAGGAAGTAGAGCAAAAACAACTTCACCAAAGCCAGAGCCGCTCCTGTGCTGTAGTCCAGCTGCTCTTCAATTCACTACTGTTTAACCACAGCTCGGAACACAAGAGCTAATGACTCGCACGGCACATTGTTTCTGAGGTGCTTGTACATCCCCATAGGAACGCGGTGGACAAAAACCAGGATGGAAGAATCCCAGTAACTGCCCACAACACCCTGGAGGGTTTAAAAAACAAAGAGATGCTACTGGAAAAGAATAAAGCAGGGAGGAGGAGTAAGAGCTCAGGGAAAGGCACGAACTGCGCTGTCCAGTGGCAGGGAGCCTGGGGGGCATCTCCGAGTCACCCGCGCCAGGAGGACCGAGCGCTGTCCTTCCACCATGGACACCCCGGGCTGCCCTCAGTACTGAATGTTCCTGTCAACACAGCCCTGCTGAAAAAGTAGACCAAGTGCCCATGGGCCCACAGTCATGTACACAAAAACAACGAAAATGAAACAAAAACGTGGAGAAGTGGCAAACATGCCACCGGAGGCAAGAGAAGCAGCCCCAGGGCTGTCCAGAAAGACCTCGAGAGGCGGGGAGGGGCTGTGAGAGCAGAGTGGGGGACCACGGTGGGTGTGTTTGAGCTCAAGGAGACGAGGTCCTGTTCTAACTAAGAAGGTCCACGGCGATTCGCAAAAGCTGGTCGGTCCTACGAGAACCCCCTCCACCCTCACCCTCCAAACGGTGCGCCTCAAAATCCAAAGCAAGCTCTGCGTCTGTCCCTGCGGCCTCTGCCTCCCCGAGTGCCAGGAATACAGCAGGTGCTCACTAAGTACACCGTGAAGGGATGACCGCGTACAGCAAGGTGGCGCTGCGGAGAGGGATGGAGAATGGGGCCACCACCCTGCAGCGCGCTGCCCCCGAATCCAGGGAGTCTGCCTACGACCTGACTCAAAGGTCAGCTTCACGTGGTGGCAAACAGTCCCAAACACTCCTCTACACCACTCTACTGACTGCAAAGTAGGAGGCAAAATCAAATGTACTTTGGGGGCAGGAATCTGAGCTTTCACGGAAATCGAATATAACTATACACGTCCAAACCCCTAAGACCTGGGACCTTTACAAGTGACTTCATGGGCCAGTTTGACAACACCCCTAAAACGCTTCACATGGGGTTCACCATTCTCTTTCCAAAGGATGGGCAGGGTAAGAGAGTTCAATTATACCTTTAATCCAGTCATACAGAAATGAAAGAACTTGTCTGGGTAGAATTCATCATGAAAATCTATGCAGGTGTAGACATGAGATAAATAATAAGTAACTGACATAATCTCACTGTCTTTTAAGTCTTTGACTGCAATTCTCCTATGTCCAGGGCCCCAAACACTATTTCTCTGTGTAGTGCAAATTTCTATTTAGCTTTTAAAAATTAAAGACATTTTCTACTTACATGCCAGGTTTCGGTATTCTCTTAGGTATGGGATATTTAGTGATTGTACAAAATCTGATTCAATATCCGAGCCAGTGTAACATTTCCGGCATTAGTGATTTGCCATTGTAAAATGATCAGTCATATTTGAAAGCCCACAAAATAACAAAGACTTCTTTTGCAGCATGTTTTGTTTTTTTTTTTTTAATGCAGCTCCTTAAGTACATTTCAAGATTAGTCTAAAGATGACAAACCAATTGACAGAAGGGACTGAAAGACAGAGACACCGAAGCTGAAGTTAGAGTGTCCATAATTAAAGGCACACAAAGCTGGGTCGGTAACAAAGGGACCCTTCTGAAATGCAGCTTCATAGAGGAAAAGGCAACTGAGCCCCTCCCATTTGATCTGTGAATACAAAGAGGGGCTTCCAGCCCCGAGGGGAGAGATTCAGAGATAATTACCACACAATGAAGCACATGCAGACAAAACAAAGGCAAAGGACCCGCCTCCAGGCTTACGCTGGTTCAAGGAGTGATTCACCCTCAGGAGAGTGAAGAGTGGTCCACACTCAGTGAAAAGTGTACCTCAGCAAATTTTGAATTTTTATCTTTTCCAGGGCTAGTAACTTGCAGTAGAATAGTTCCTTGCACTGGCTCAGCTCTACGAGGCGCTCAACACTTTGGTATCACACAGGCTTCGCGCTGGCCGGACAAAGAGACCACCAGAGGGATACATGACAAGCCAACCCCTGGGCCTTTAACACGTTACTCGTTAAAAGCATGATTTGTGTTTCATCTGGAGCAGTCAGGGACCTGAAAAAGTGGTTTTTGCTAAAACCTGTGACTCTTTCATCAGTAGAGCAAGTCAGTGGCAAGATGGCTTTCCCCAGTGGTCGGCTTACGTGTTTTCAGAGCATGTCTGAGGCAGGCCAAGCCGAGCCAAGATGTTTGCTCGTCAGGTATATTAAACGCATTTAGGACTTCCAATACTCTCAACATAGGATACTTTCAACATCAGGACGAGCTCGTCACAAGTCGAGCGGCACCTGTACTAAGGGAAACTCGGCTGGGGAAGTAAGGGATGGACAAGGAGAGGGGCCGGGAAGCACTCCCAGAGCTCAAACTGCACACCATTCGTGGCCTGGCCGGGCTAAGGGAACAGTGGGAGATGCCCATTGGACAGGAAGGGACACCAGAGCAAATACCACCGACGATCCAGTCGAGGGAGCGCTCAGCAGTCAGGCAATCCCACAGAGGCTGTGGCCGGCAGGAGCACCACGGCTCCTCCCTGGCCGTCAGAACGGCAGCAAGGGCCCAACAGCCCCGAGGGGAACAGCACTGGACACAAGGTCAGCGAGGCCAAGGAGTGACCCAGACAAGAGCCGACGGGAACCTGAGCCAGCTTCCAGGTGAGCAAAGGCCCCGGGGCCCGAGGAGGCGGGGCCAGCCAGCCCTGCTTTTGGTTTCCGTGGTGGGGAGACGGGGTACCAGAAGGTCGGGGGAGGAAATCAGACTTAGGGGCATTTGGACCAGCAAGTGGCAGCTACAGCGTCCTGGAAACTGGGCTGGGGAAGGGTCAGGGCCGGGACACACTCTGGAGTCTCACGGCACAGAGGGTGGGGGCAGGGGCGGCACGAGTCCACCCAGGAGGGAACGGAGAAAGCGGGAAAGGAGTGACAGGGCCTGAGAGGAGGAAGGAGGAAGGGGATGGCAGCGACTCCCCTGGCAAAGAAGAACGGAGGCATTCTGGACCTGTCGGCGCAGATGGCCACCGGGATAGCTTAAGACACGGCAGCCGGTGAGGGAGACCAGGACAGAGAACCAGCCCCGGAGTCCAGCGTGCGGCGTGGCCACTTAGAGTAACGGGCAGCCGCGGTCACCTACCCATCTCAGTCCCGGCTGCACACAGCCACCACCAGCAAAGCTTGGAAATCACCAACGCTGGCATCCCAGCCCTGACTGCGACAGCCAAACCAGGATGTCGGGGCACGGGGCTTGTACTCGAGGACAGCCCTGCCCTCCACTGGCGGCGTCAGGAGAGTGGCGACCCCGTTCCCAGGCTCACCACTGCCGGAGGGGGAGTCCCACTGCAAACACGGCCCCTGCTCTTGCCAGTGCCTCTGCCCCACCTCCCACCCACGCCGCTCTGCGCCGGCTTTCAGGAGGGCGGGTCCACCTGTGGTTTGGGCCCTTCCTGCCTCGCTCCTGAGAGCTGTTTCCTCCTTAGGGCCGTATCAGCCTCGCTATTTTCTATCTTAACCACACGGACAAACCTAGCGGTAATAAATCACCTGTGCCGATCATACCTTTCCTGTGGTATCTGCGTTTCCTGCTTTATTTCTGCGATCTCTGGGCAAGTCAGGCAGATTTCACTCTCTAGTACCAAGCATTTCCCCACTCGGATCCCTCAACACGGCCCCGTTAGGGATTTCGTCTGAGCGGTACCCTTACTCATCCCTCTGCAAGGCTCTGACTACAAGTGTGCCATCTGGTGGCCCAAGAAGATGCCCTTGGGTTCCTCATGCTTTTTGAAAAGCACACCCAAGATCAAAGAGATGTCAGATGTGCCGCTGCTTCTAAGGAAACTGACTTAAGAGCGGCTGGCTGCAGTGATTTGGGCTGCCACGAGGGTCTTGTGGAGCTGCGACTTCCTTCAAAGCTTCTCTCAGGCTGGAAGACAGGAGCGAAACTTAAATGTTGGTTGTCCACTATGATGTTTAATATTTACAGATTTTAGGAAAAAATGTGTAACCGTCCTCAAGCAATTAGTGAAAAAGGCAAAAGGGGGAAATGTACTGGAAGTGCCATAGAAGCTCAGGACTAAAACCTGGGCATGGAGATGAGGTTCTCCAGGCCTCAGCTGCCTCATCTGCTATGTCAGAGGTGGTCTAAGGAACCCTGAGCTCTAACATTCCAGGACTGCTAAAGAAATCCCTTAAAAGACCACTGGCTAGGCATGGAAGATACGTAAATGTTTGTGTCCAGACTAAAAAGCAGTGATCTCTTATAGGATAAATGTAACTAATATAAATAACCACTTTCTTTGTTTTCACACGACTGTGTAGATACAGGCTTAGGGACGAAAGGTGGGGTGTGATCTATGGCTGTTACAGCTTATAAAGTCCACAGCGACTTTGAAGACACATGGACCACTTCACACTCAGAAGAACAAGCTAATTATCTCGCAGAATTTCTTCTAGAAATTTGCACACCATCAGCAACAAAGGTTTGCCTAGGAATGCTTAATGTCATATATTCCCTATCCACTCATCCTAAGAAAAATACAACCCAGTGTCTGAGGAAGTTGGACTTCCCTCCTGACCGCAGAGGCAGATACCTCGGGCCATGATGAAGCGAGTCTTGAGGAGAGAGATAAGGTCTGGGTTTGGCGGGGGCTACATCCTTGAGCAGAAAGGAGGAACTTCTCATTTCCAGCAAGGTTTTTCCC